GAAATAATTTAAAACTTCCAAAAAAAGAAATGTCCAGAACTAGATGGCTTCATGTCTGAATCTTGCATACATTTTTTGTTTGTTTGTTTGTTTGTTTTTGTTTTTGTTTTTTTTTTTTTGACAGGCAGAGTAGACAGAGAGAGAGAGAAACAGAGAGAAAGGTCTTCCTTTGCCGTTGGTTCACCCTCCAATGGCCGCCGCAGCCGGCGTGCTGTGGCCGGCACACGGCGCTGATCCGATGGCAGGAGCCAGGTGCTCATCCTGGTCTCCCATGGGGTGCAGGGCCCAAGCACTTGGATCATCCTCCACTGCACTCCCTGGCCACAGCAGAGAGCTGGCCTGGAAGAGGGGCAACCGGGAAAGAATCTGGCGCCCCGACTGGGACTAGAACCGGGTGTGCCAGCGCCGCAAGGCAGAGGATTAGCCTAGTGAGCTGCGGCACCAGCGCATAAGGTTCTTAAAATAGTACTTTTTTTTTTTTATGTCAGAGAGAAAGAGAGGGAGACACAAAGAGAGAGATCTTCTGTCCATTGATTCACTCTCTGAATGGTTGCAATGACCAGGGCTGGGCCAGTTTCATCCCGGTCTCCCACACAGGTAGCACCTGAGCCTTCTTCCACTGGTTTTCCAAGGCCATTAGCAGAGAGCTGGATCAAAAGTGGAACAGGCTTTACACTATGCCACAATATCAGACCCTAAAATAGTATACTTAAAAAAGTAATATTGTAGAGTGACTAAAGAGTAAGCTTTATAATTAGACTATCTGTATTCAGAATCCCAATGCCAAAGTCTAGTAGGCAGAATAATAAGCCAGTTTATATAGTTCTACTTTATAAACTTCACATAACCTTTTTATTCAACTATATAAAACTAATTGAAATATATATATATATATTATTTTTTCAAAGGATCTTCTGTGGTTTCATGAATGCTAAAAAGGGCTAAATTCCAGAGTAGTAGCCTCTTATTTACAATTAATGTAAGTCATCATTGAACATTGTACAGTCTTTGTGGAGATCTAGGAAATACATGTGAATTAAAAATATAAGACACAGTGGAGAGGGACTGCTGTGGCATAGCGGGTAAGGCCACGGCCTACAGTGCCAGCATCCCATTTGTGCCCTGGGTCAAGTTCTGGATGCTCCACTTCCAATCAAGCTCTCTGCTAAGACAGTGGAAGATGGCCCAAATCCTTGGGTCCCTGCACCTGCGTGGGAGACCTGGAAGAAGCTCCTGGCTCCTAGTTTCACATCTGCACAGCTTCAGCTGTAGCAGCCAACTAGGGAATAAACAGGTGGATGGAAGACCTCTCTCTCTCTGCCTCCCCTTCTCTCTGTGTAACTTTGACTTTCAAATAAATAAATAAATCTTTAATATATATATGACACAGTAAATTTAGTAAATTTATGGTAATGATCACTAGAAAATAAGCAAGAATTAATTTTTAAAAATTTTATTTATTTATTTATTTATTTGAGAGCCAGAGTTAAAACAGAAAGGGAGAAACAGAGATGTCTTCCATCTGCTGTCTCACTCCCCAAATGGCCACAATGGCAAGGGCTGGGCCAGGCTGAAGCCAGAAGCCAGGAACTTCCCCCAGTTCTCCCTTGTGGGTACAGGAGTCAAGCACTTGGGCCATCTTCCACTGATTTCCCAGGTACCTTAGCAGGGAGCTGGATTGGAAGTGGACCAGCTGGGACTCGAAGGATCACACATATGGTATGCCAGAGCCTCAGGTGGAGGCTCAACCTACTATAACACAGTGTCAGCCCTTAAAACTAATTTTATAAAGCCAACACAGTTGAGAATTTGAGAATTTCTTATGTTTGTTTAATCTTATTTCATGGAAGCTGTGGTATAGAGAAGTTAACTTGCTCAAGTTTGTATTTAACTAGTACTACAAAGGCACACAAAGCCTTATATAAAATTTAGTCATGAAGCTATTGCATCCTTCATTACTTCCTCACCTTTATCCCCAAAGATATCGATTAGTATTTGAGCTAAGGCCCAAGGGTCCGCATTTTTAAGAAAGTCTTCATATAATTATTATTCTCTATACTACACTGTAAAAACCACTATACCATGAACCAATGCTATGGCACAGAGGGTAAGGCTGCCACCTGAGGCTCTGGCATCCCATATGGGTGCTGGTTCAAGTCATGGCTGCTCCATTTTCAATCCGTCTCCCTGCTGGTGTGCCTGGGAAAGCAGCAGAAGATGCTCAAATGCTTAGGCCCCTGCACCAAAGTGGGGGGCCCAGATGAAGCCCCAAGGCTCCTGGTTTGGCCTGGCCAGCCCCGGCTGTTGCAGCCATATGGAGAGTGAACCAGCAGATAGAAGATCTCTCTCTCTACAATTCTACCATTCAAATAAAATGAATATATCTTTTTAAAAAGTTACTACACCATATGATCTTCATCTTCTGATTCTTATATTCTATTTTTCTCAATATTCTGGTCACTATACATTTAAAGGTATCCTAGAACTTGTAGGAATCTTATGTAAACCAGTTTATGGAGCCAGCTTATCCAGCCAACTAGCACACTGCCAACCTGGGGCACTGTTTATATCTAATTGGACACCCTCAACTCAACATAAGGATTTTACATCTGTAACAGCCACTTGCATAATTTTGGACCTATAGTAGATGATGCTGCTTGAGTGTGTCTCAAGGCAGGAAACTGCCATGAAATTAGAGGAAAGGCTACAGTTTCTGATCTCCATCAAAATAGGCAATGGGGGGCATAAGCTGCCCCTAAAGGAATGTGGCAGCCTAGACAGCAGGGGGCTGAATGGATGTTAATTGCAGGAGCATTTGAATGGACCTGTCTTTGAAGATTTACACCACAGTTCTGTTCCCAGTCATGGATCACCAGATTGGATTCCTTTCCCACCTAAAGTTGTACATCAACTGTGCCTATGTGCCAGCTGGCTTGTAGACTTGCTGATACCCTCTAATAGAAAGTGCTGGCCAAAGCAATCCAGGGCGCACTCTTCAGGTGAAGATGTCCATGATCTGTCTCATTCATTTATGAAACCCCACACTAGAGCCTTCTAGAAAAATAATTTTATTGAAATATCGTTAGAGGGGTTGGCACTGCATTGCAGTGGGTTAAAGCCCTGGCATGCAGGGCAGGCATCCCACATGGGTGCCCATTCGAGTCTTGGCTGCTCCACTTCTGATCCAGCTCTGTGCTATGGCCTGGAAAAGCAGAAGATGGCCCACGTCCTTGGGTCCCTGTACCCATGTGGGAGACCCAAAAGAAGCTCCTGGCTACTGGCTTTGGATCAGCTCAGCTCTGGCTATTGGGGCCATTTGGGGAGTGAACCATCAGACGGAAGACCTCTCTCTCCCTCTCTCTCTCTCTCTCTGTATGGCTCTATCTCTATTTGTAACTCTTTCAAATAAATAAAAATAAATCTTTTCAAAAAAAGAAATACCATTAGAAAGGTTATGCTCTGTATAAAAGCAATATAACTTGTAGTATATTTTAAAAGTTCATATAAATTAAACAAAGCCTTTGGTTAAAAATATTCTATATTTCTACAACTTATAATGTTACCACTTGTTATCTCTGGGGATTGGTTCCATAACCAGGCAAGGATACCCAAACATATGGATATCCTTATATAAAATTGTTATTTTTTGCATATAACTTATATCTTCTCATGTACTTTAGATCATCTCTAGATTCCTTATAATATCTAATACAATATAAATAGTCATTATACTGCATTATTTAGGGAGTAATATCAAGAAAAACATCTACATGTTTAGTATAGCTGTAATTTTTTTAAAGATTTATTTATTTATTTGAAAATGAGAGAGAGAGAAAAGGACAGACAGAGAAAGAGAAATCTACCCATTGGTTCACTCCCCAAATGGCTCCAACTACCAGGGGTGGGCCATGCTGAAGCCAGGAATGCAGGAGTTTCTTCCGGGTCTCCCACTTGGGTGGCAGGGGCCCAAGGACTAGGGTCATCTTCAGCTGCTTTCCTAGGTACATTAGCAGGGAGCTGGATAGGAAGTAGGGCAGCCAGTCCTTGAACTGGTGCACATATGGGATACTGGAACTGCAGGTGGCAGCTTAACCTACTGTGCTACAGCACTGGCTTCACCTCTGTAATTTTTTTTTTTTTTTTTTTTTGACAGACTGAGTGGACAGTGAGAGAGAGAGACAGGGAGAAAGGTCTTCCTTTTGCCGTTGGTTGGTTCACCCTTCAATGGCCGCTGCGGCCAGCGCACTGCACTGATCTGTAGGCAGGAGCCTGGTGCTTATCCTGGTCTCCCATACGGGGGCAGGGCCCAAGCACTTGCGCCATCCTCCACTGCACTCCCTGGCCACAGCAGAGAGCTGGCCTGGAAGAGGGGCAACCGGGACAGAATCCAGCGCCCCGACCGGGACTAGAACCCTGTGTGCCGGCTCCGCAAGGCAGAGGATTAGCTTATTGAGCCGCAGCACTGGCCTCACCTCTGTAATTCTTAAAAACTATTTTTGACCCTCATTTTATTCAATCTCCAGATATACAACCTGCACATACAAAGCACTGCCTGTACTTAATGTAATGATTTATTGTTTTATTTAATGTAACTACATTCAATTTGAATTACTTGACCCCCAGCATAGTCATCAATAAGCACTATCACTGAGTAATGCTGTAATATAAAAAACTATTTAAACTATGGCAAATTCTTTAAGCCCAATACTATTAGCTTGTATATCAAGGCCCTGCATCTGGGTTTATTTCACAGGAAGTCTCAAAACAAATTCAAACTTATGTTTTTTTCCTTTACAACATCTAGAAAGATACTACATTAAATATGCATTAAATAGAAAATTGCTTTCCTTACTAAAAATGTTACAGATAAAAAATATAAGTAATGTGAATAAATATTTGAAGTATAAATATTTAATTATTCATATGAATTATACTTCTAACCATATCTTAATTGTTTATTCTCATTTATAGAGAAATTAATACACATATATTTAACTTACCTCTGTTGTTTGTAGACTGGGATCTATTTCTCTAGTAACTGCTCTCCCTAGAAGAAATAAGAAAGAGAAAAACATGTTACACTGGTCAACTGTTCTGAATATGTTCAAAAGTATGCAGAGGGACTGGTGCTGTGGCATAGTGGGTAAAGTCACCACCTGCAGTGCTAGCTTCTCATATGGGCACCAGTTCGAGTTTCGGCTGCTCCACTTCTGATCCAGCTCTCAGCTATGTTCTGGGAAAGCAGTAAAAGATGGCACAAGCCTTTAGGCCCCTGTGCCTACATGGGAGACATGGAAGAAGCTCCTGGCTCCTGGCTTTGGATTGGCACAGTTCTGGCTGTTGTGGGCCATTTGGAGATTGAACCAGTTGATGGAAGACTTTCTCTCTTTCTCTCCCTCTGACTCTGCATCTCTGTAACTCTGACTTTCAAATAAATAAATAAATAAATCTTAACCAAAAAAAAGTTTGCCAAAGGTGAAAACAAAAATTGAGCAATGATAAAAAAGAAAGCTCAAAGGAAAATACTGGAAGAAAATGTAGATTTTCCTGGAACTAAACTGTTCCAAACAGCCTCCAACAGAAGTCTCATTAAAAACTGTTTAGAAGAATAGTAAGATAATGATATGTAGGAAAAATATCACCCAGTACGAAATAAACTCAACTCTCATCAGTACAGTTCTCAATCCATACCTACCAAACTGCCGAGACAAAGACATCCAACAGTGCTGTTCAATGATATCTCTTAGTTATCACTATATGAGTTTTCATATTCTCTTTGACTTGTTTTCCCAGAATTGAACCAGACTGGTTGCAAGTAAAACAGTACCAGAACACGACCATTTTCTAAATAGGCCAAATTACTACTCACCCCCAAGATAGAGTCACAATGGTTAGGTGAACCATTAGGACTCAAATAAGTTTCTAACTGTAAAAAAGGCAACAGAGAATTTAAATTCTTATTCCCACGTAATTCCAACTTGGAAAAATACTGAGAAATATTTGTCAATATTTCCATAAAATGCTTTTGAAGAAAATATCACAAGGGAAATCAAATAAAATATTACTACCACTTAAAAATCATTCCAAAGTAACAGTAATTCTGTAAGAGTTGGGATATATTCTGAAATCAGTAATTTGTACATCTTTTTCATAATCCAAGAAACACAATTCATTCCACAAAACAATATTTAATATATGTTAAATGAAATTAATTGTACCTAGTTCACAATAGTACAATTCTTTTTCACAGATGATGCTAATCACTCAGCTATTCTTCCTAATCATTAAGTCCGTCACATAAATGAAACTATTATATGTGGATAAGCTCCAAAGCTTCCTACCAAGCAGCATAGTTATTAAGTACTCATTTGTTAAAATAAGGCTATGTGAAAATAATCATTGATTTGTAAGAAACAGTTACTTCATGTAAACTGTATTTTACTTTTAAAAGCAGATGCAGGGGCCAGCACCGTGGCTCACTTGGTTAATCCTCTGCCTGCGGCACCGGCATCCCATATGGGCGCCAGTTCTAGCCCCGGTGCTCCTCTTCCACTCCAGCTCTCCTCTGTGGCCCAGGAAGGCAGTGTAGGATGGCCCAAGTGCTTAGGCCCTGCACCCACATGGAAGACCAGGAAGAAGCAAGCACCTGGCTCCTGGTTTCAGATTGGCGCAGTGCTGGCGGTAGTGGCCATTTGGGGAGTTAACCAATGGAAGGAAGACTTTTCTCTCTGTCTCTCTCTCACTGTCTACAACTCTACCTGTCAAATAAAAAAAAAAAAAAAAGTAGACGCATGGTTCATATCTTTGATAACAAGACAGGGATCATTCATGATGTAAAATCTTTGTCTTTGGCAGACTATGTTAATTCTTTCAAATTAATTAAAACCAGCCTACCTCTCCAGCTTCACTTTCTTGCCCTCTTAAATCCAGCCCACCAGTCTTCTTTTAATCCCTTATGCTTTCCTTCAGATTCCTCTCTGAAGTGCCTTAGCTCCTAATTATTCCTCTGCAAGGATTGTATACTTTATTCCCTGCCACTCCCCTCCCCCAACCTACCCCAGGGTAATTCTTCACCACATCCTTCAGCTATAAGTTTGAAAGTCACATTCTCATCAGAAAAGCCTTCTCTCACCTATCTTTTTCAAATCACCTAATATATGTCTACTCGACGGCATTTCTCACAGTTTCAATTTTAAATGATTTTGTGTGCTTTTTTATTTATATTTTTTACCACCCCAAAGAGTGAAAGTTCCTGAAAGGTGGGCATAATATCTGATTTTGTTCTCTGTAGCACAGTGATTGGCAAATGAATGTTGCCTGATAAATGTTCATAGAAAAAAAAAGGAAGAGCAGGCCAGTAAAAGAGGTGTTTCTTCTATTACCTTTGCTGCAAACAATGAGACAAAACATGTTGAGAACTAAACATGTGCCAGGCACTGTAGTCAGTTTCTTACAGAATCTGTTATGTATATGTAACTAAAGTTACATTGGCAAATAACAATCTTTTTCAGGAGTCAGTATTTCAATATGTACAGTGATGAAATTAAACTAGAACAGATGTCTCAAATTTGAACGTCCACAGCGGGCTAGAAGACTACTCAAGTGAACTGCATACATTTAGCGAACGTTAAGAACACAGTGAAGACATGGCAGCTCTAGATGATAACCACCATGCAACAGGGCCCCAGACTCTACAGAGCTCAAGATTTTTCAAGATAACTTTCTGTTTGGTTTTTAATGTAATCCAATCTTTAAATATGTAATGTAATTTAATGTAATCCAATCTTTAAATATGAGAATGTTTTTGAAAATATTTATGAATCCCAAAATAAATTCATTTCTATCAGACTCAGATGTCAGGAAACTCCAATGAAATCTGAATACAAAGTCTCATAAAGTGTGATAGTTGATTTTATAGCACCGACTTGAATGGATTAAGGAATACTCAGTTCAGAAAAAGGGAGACCCTTATTTTGAATGTGTCTATGAGGATGTATACAAATGGTATGAGCGTGTGAATCTGAGCGGACTAGGTGGGCAGATTTGGCTTTGGGGAAAGCAAGCACCAACAACTGGCTAGGGATCTGGAGGAATCAGGTGCAGAAGATGCACTGTCACCTTCTCCGAGAGCAATGACTTGCCTGACTCCTGCCTTGGACATCAGTTTCTGATCCTTGTACTCCAGGACCTTATACCAGCAGTCCCCTTGCTGGCACTCGGGGTTGGGCCTCAAACTGAGAGAACTACACCCACTGCTTTGGGACTGGAACTGAGCCATGCTACTGACATTCCAGGGTCTCCAGCCTGCAGTTAAGCTGCCCTGGGACTTCTCTGTTGCCATAAATAAATCCCCCTTCATATATCTCTATTCATATCTTATCAATTCTGTGTTTTCTTGAGAACCTTGACTAATACATAAAGTTTCAACCAGCTCTGACTCTATGAGATTTATTCCTTAAAAGAGTTTGCTATTCTGCATTTCATGTGGGAATTTTGATAGCACAATTTCTCTAAAAGGCTCAAGCCAAAGACAGCTTCTCATGTGACTTCTTTTGAGTCCCCCGATATAATACCAATGATTTGTGTCAAGCGCATTTCAGTTCTTACAAAACCTGCTTGAAGGTGCACCCTGGCTGGCGTGGTGGCTCAATAGGCTAATCCTACGCCTGCGGCGCCAGCACACCAGGTTCTAGTCCCAGTCGGAGCGCCGGATTCTGTCCCGGCTGCCCCTCTTCCAGTCCAGCTTTCTGCTGTGGCCCGGGAGTGCAGTGGAGGATGGCCCAAGTCCTTGGGCCCTGCACCCACATGGGAGACCAGGAGGAGCACCTGGCTCCTGGCTTCGGATCAGCGGCAGTGTGCCGGCCGCAGCACACCGGCTGCGGCCATTGGAGGGTGAACCAACGGTAAAGGAAGACCTTTCTCTCTGTCTCTCTCTCTCTCTCTCATTGTCCACTCTGCCTGTCAAAATAAATAAATAAATAAATAAAGGTGTACCCTCTATTTTACATAGGACAAAACTGCTCATGCCCTCCTTAATGAAAAGAAAAACCAGTTCTTGGTTAAAGTAAGTTGAATTAGCCTGAGTCCCAAAAAAAGACATTTTTTTCTTCTTGCTACAAGTTACCAAAATAATACATGCAGATTTTTTGATTCTCCCTGTCACTGATTACATGGCAAAGCTATATAAGCTCATTAAAGCTCTAAGTGATGGCTATAAATTTCCCTAGAGAAAGGGAGAGGAAGTCATAATGATAATGATACACAGAACTGCATGAAATAAGGCAACAAGCAGCAAGATGAATATTTTCCAGTTAGTATAACACCTTCCAGGTTGATTGTCTTTAATTAGCAAGCACTGCAACATTATATTTACTAGAGAAAAATACACTGACTGATAGCCCTTTTTGTGTTTGTCTTTGATAGAATACCATTAACTAACATCATCATTCCATTACTCTGGATGCCAAGAACACCAACATCAACATAAAGCTAAGATGCAGGTACTGCTTCATAAAACTTCCATATTAAGCGATGCTCTTTAAAAACTTTCTCTTTTTCTCCCAGTATCACATTAAGTTGGGACTTCCTATGGTTTTGGTGTAGCTGTCACCTAGGATTCTACTGCAACTGGAGGTTTGATCCCTAGGATGGTGGTGTTGGAAGCTGAGGAAAGCTATGAGAGGTGAGGTCTAGTGGGAGGTCCTTAGGTCACTGAGGATGTGAGGCAATTTTTTGGTGGCCCCTTGGTAAAACCCTTCAGTTCTAATTGAGAAGGTTGTTAAAATTTAAAATAGAAAGGACCAAGATGACCCTCCCCTCTCTAAATTTCTGGTTCCCCCATGCAAGTTTCCATCACGGTCATGTACCACCAGAAGTAATATACACCAGAACTATGCCAAAAGAGGCACCAAAGAATGCCCTTGAACCTTCAAAACTGAGAGCTAAGTTCTTCTTTTTCTTTGCAAGTAGCTTATTTGATATTTCATTAATTTTCATTATGATAAAAAGCTGATTTTCTAGTCATTGAAATGGGATAGAGATGGACAT